TCCGTCCGTCCGTCCGTCCGTCCGTCCGTCCGTCCGTCCGTCCGTCCATCTGTCCATCCGTGCATCCGTGCATCCATTATCTTTACTCACTTCCTCTTTTCTGGGTTGTTGAGGTCACTGGTGCCCCTATCCAGTAGTCACTGTTTGAGAGGCAGGGACACCCTGGACAGGTCTCCAGTTCATCACAGGGACATAGAGAGACAAACAAGACAAACAAGTCACACACTCATTTACATCTAGGGAAAATTTAGAGATACCAAGTAGCCTAACATGCATGTTTTTGGTCTGTGGGAGGAAAGCAGAGTCCTCGGAGAAAATCCACACATGCACGGAGAGAACACGATGACTCCTCCCAGAAAGTTCCCTGGCCAGGATTCAAGCCGGCAACTTTCTCGCAGAGGGGTGACAGCTCTTCCAACAGTGCCCACATACAATATAATGTATATAAAATACAAATTGCAGCAATAACCACATCATTCTCAACAATTGTGTTAGACTCTACAACCATCACTGTTCCCAACAAACTCAATAAGGATTAAATACATGCTGACCTCTGCTAAAACACACACTCTGCCTGTAATACTGTACTGTAAATAGTCTGTCCTTATCAATGTTCCAATACATAATGAAAATTATCATTGATATTGTTTATCTTATTTCTTATATATTGTATTGTTTATTAACGTTTTAGGAACTTTTGTGTGAAATCTTTGTATCTGTTGCTGCTGTTGCTGCTGATACACTGGATTTTCCCATCCGTGGGACAATAAAGGCTGTTTCCATTCTATTCTAATGTAGTAGTTGTTTACATAACACACAATGCCAAGAACAGAAAGTAGAATGCCACTGATACATAGCTCTAACCAGAAACATAAAAAGACAAGCAATGCCAACTTTTATGTATAAAAGTGTCACAAATATGCCACAATACTGTGGCAGTGTAGACGGAGACTTTGGGCAATGCTATTGTTGGGTGTCAGATGTGCAAAGAGTTGATGTTGAGACATTTTTTCCAACATGTTTTAGAAATGCAAAACAAATGAGATGGGGTATCAGTTATTTACAACTGGAGAAAAGCATCTTCATTTTATATTATTAAGAAATATCAAATTACATTAAGCACTGGGCTCTAATGTGAATGTTTTGCAAGCAATTCAAATGTTAAACATATTTTCCATTTCCTTATAAAGAGCAGGGTAAATATTGTATGTAGGTCAAATAGATAAACGATAGGTCAGTGAGCTGCATCCCGCCTGATATGTTTATTTACTTATCTATTTTTCCTGCCGTTATCTACTTCCTCTGGCACAATTTAAAACGAAAAATATCTGTCAGCAGACTCCTGAGTAGCAGAGATACCCACAGTGAGGTGAACTGTGGGCTCAAAGGTGGATTCTGACATTTTACTCAAGCTTTCAGCATCTAAGTCAGAATATAAAACTACAACATGTCACTGATGGTTCCAAAAAACTTTGGTGCCGTAATGGAGCCAAGCAGCATCTACAAAGAGGAAAAAAGTTTGAAAACAGCTCATTGCAGCCTATATGGATTGGAGAAAATGTTATACTGTATATTTTGTTATATGCCTATTCTTGTGTGGCAAACAAAAGTTTAAAAAGAACATTTAACCTTAAAAACTTTTTAAACATTGGTGTGTAGAACATGAAGTAAATGTAGGTTTGTGCAAACAAGATGCTGTATAAAATTATAATGCTCTAGCATTAGCATGAACACAATTAATTTTCTTGATAAGTAATCAATGATTTCGTTCCACCACATGTGAACGACAATAAATAATATCTGAATCTGCATCAACAAAAATAAAAACAAACAAACAAACAAAAAAAAAATCCACTTGTGTTCTGGCAACATTCATGTATTTTTTAAGTCTTTTACTTTTGATACTCCAGGTGGATGTTTTCTTCACTTCTAAATTGACTAGATTAAAACGAGATTTTAAAATCTTAAAGTTGTCAAATGATGTGATGGTATTTACATGATGTCTTACTGTGTCCTGTTTTGTTTTGTGCCCAGTCATGTGTGCACAAGGTTTACAGGCCAAGGATAAAACCGGCTCCAGCGACCCGTACGTCACCGTCCAGGTGGGAAAGACCAAACGCAGGACGAAGACCATCTTTGGCAACCTCAACCCTGTCTGGGATGAGAAGTTCTATTTGTGAGTACTCTCTAATAATCTGTATTTTTTTTCTAACGGGATTATAATAATATTTGAATAATCTGTTTAAATAAAAACAAACTTTAGGACATTAGTAAACATGATTATCTTTCAGCTGATTAAACAACAGAGTTTGCTGTCGTTTTGGAGATGAAAGCTTTTATTTGTCAAAATTTTTTTATAAATTTTTTTATTTTATGTAACTTCAATTTTACTTTTCAGTTTCTTTTATTAACAAGCTCTATGGTCAGAATGAGTATGCAGTCGCCACAGTATTTTGTAAACACCTTTCTTCCTCTCTTTCCTTTTTTTTTTAAACTCCATAAGTATTTGCCGTAAAGCTTCCAATAGAATGCATCCATTCTGAAAGGGTTACCAGGTTGTGTAGCTCATTTAAAAACAGAGTAGTTAGTAATAAAGCTCAGTTTCTAGAAGACTAATTTTGACTTATACTTGATTTTACTAATGAGAGGCTTTAGGGATCTTTTAGAGAAGGTTGCCGTGGTTACCATTACAGATGTCACCATTTTTTGAGAGGCCTAATCCAGGTTGAAAAGAAAAAGTCATATATATATATATATATATATATATATATATATATATA